GGGAAAGAGAAGGAATGGAGTGAACAAACCTATCAGGTGATAGCTAGCAGAGAAATTAAAAAATGGTATCTTCTCACTGTTAGTAATTAAAGTTCTTAATGATGTAATTGTGGGGCAGTATTTACATCTATGTAAATAATAGAGACAATTTATCAACTTGGTTACAAATACAGTTTACTGTAGATAATGAAAGTCAATAAATTAAGACACTCAGAAGTCATTTTTTCATATGACTTAAGCAACCACTATAAAGAACAATTTAAATTCTAGGAAGTTTAAGTCTGGTTATTGGAAACATACGAACTATTCTTGCCTAGGACAAGTTGTTTGTAGGTTTTAACCACAATGGCAGCAATATTTACTATGTGCCAGGCATGATACCAAGTGCTTTACCTGGCATTATGGGATATTCTCAAGGACATCCCCACCTTCTGAAAACTTTCTTGTATTTACCATGTAATGATTTTTATCCTTACATGAACAGAGAGCATCAATAATGGTGACTTTTTTCTTTATTTAGCAAGTTGTCCTTTTATATCTCCAAAACGTTAAAGAAAAAAAATGGAATGGATTCTAAGTATATTTTTCCATATACCCACAATCTCTAATGCAGGAAAGGTTAAAAAAAGGACCAGTTCCTCTTAGGGTTACCCAAGCCCGCTGAGACTCAGACAAAAGGCCATGGAAAACCCTTTAGTCATCTTCAAGATCCAATCACCAAGGCAGCAATGCCAGTTTTGGGGCCCAGCTGTAGGCTGATGTCTGAGGTTGGTATAGATTATATCCTGGTATTGTTTGTTCACTTCACTTGATGTAGAATAAGGTGATGGATGTGTGGGATAGAAGGGAGTACAGTGGCCTCAGTCCCTGAATTTTGGTGCCCTCAAATTCCCACTTCATTTGGATTATAAGAACTGAAGTAATAAAGTGAGAAGGGCACATTAGTTGCCTATCCAGTAGCCATACTCTCTCTTTGTTACTAAAAGAATCTTGATTTTGCTCAGAGTAACAATCTGCCCAACTAAAAGTCTTTTGATTCTCCGAACCCCCATGTAGCTGGGAGTGACTCAGTTCTGGCCAAAGACATGCAGACAAAAGTCCCTGGGGAAGAATCCTGTCCTGACATAAAAGGTAAAGCTTCATGAGACAACAACAGACACAAAGCCTCGAGATGCAGCAGCCCTCTTGTGCCTGTAAGAACAAAAGGCACACCCTGAGGATGACAGCAAGCTAGGAGTAAGGTCCCCACTGGCTTTGTTCTAGTCTGCACATCTGTGTGCTTTCTTGGTAGCAGGAAAATTAAAAAAAAAAAAAAAAAAAAAAAAAAAACCTACTTGTTTATGCCACTGCTGCTCTGGTTTTCTCTTACAGCTAAACAGATTCTTAATTGCTACATTCAGAAGGCAAGCATATCTAATCCTGGCAGATCCTAAATCACAAAACTTTATTAATTAATCCTTAGGATATCCTTAAGTGATGGATATCACTATGTATATTTTATAGACAAGGAAAATGAAGCTTAGAGAAGATTGCCTGTAGGTAGGAGAATTGGAATTCAAAGCCCAAGATGATGAATTCCAATGCCTACAGCACCTTGATTTAGAAATTCAAATACAACAAAACTATATAGAGTTTTTAGACTATTAACAAACATTTTTTCATTGAAGCCCGAAGTTCAAAAATATCTTCTGATTAATGTGCTTCATAAACAAAATATGCTAGTTTTTCTGGGAAACAGTGGGAACTACGTGGTTGGTATTACTTTCTGAGTGGTTATTGTGTGCAGTTGCCTCATTTCTCTTTATGATACACCATTAGTTGTGAGCAGTTGCAGAAGCAGTGGTGACTAACTCCTAAGGCCAAAATCTTGTATAGTATAAATCAAGTAATAATTTTCAAAGAGGGCCAGTTTACTTACATAACTAAAATGGCCTTCTAAGAAAAGAAATATATGCCACATATATGCTATTGATTTTGTTGAAACTTTAGTTACAAATAAGGATGGCTTATTTTAATAATAATGTGCTGATTTAAAACAGAGTCTAGTAGAACATTATTAATTATCTTTACCTTGGAGAAATCGAAATGAACTTAATTGATTTAGTAGTGACTTTGGAATCACAGTGTTTCATTAAGAAATACAGTATCACCAGAATAAAGATAATATAGAAGCAATTCAAAACAACTCCATATAAAGATAAAAACAGATTTGCCAAAACGGAGATTACTAAATGGTGGGAAGGACAAGAATTTCATGAAATAAAATAAAGCGTATATTTCTTTAAATGTTTCATCTAGAGATTCAGTCCATTTAAATTCATACATATAGAAATCTCACTTTTTTCAGAAGCAATATAATTACTACAAAATCTAGTGTTTATGGTATGTGTGGATAAAGAGGAGGACACTTGGCTTTTTCTGAGTATCTTTAAATTAGAAAAATGCTCTAAACCATAAGAATAAACTACCCAAAATTAAGAAAATAGTACCATTTACAAGAGCATCAAAAAATAAAATAAAATACTTAGACATAAACTCAACCAATGGTGTGAAAGACTTGTACTGAAAGCTGTAAAACACTAATAAAAAAATTACAGGGCTTCCCTGGTGGCACAGTGGTTGGGAGTCCACCTGCTGATGTAGGGGACACGGGTTCGTGACCCGGTCCGGGAAGATCCCACATGCCGCAGAGCGGCTGGGCCCATGAGCCATAGCCACTGAGCCTGCGCTTCCGGAGCCTGTGCTCCGCAATGGGAGAAGCCACAGCAGTGAGAGGCCCGCGTACCGCAAAAAAAAAAAAAATTACAGTAGATACAAATATATAGAAAGACATCATATGTTCACAGGTTGGAAGAATTAATATTGTTAAAATGTCTATACTACCCAAAGTAATTTACAGATTTAATACAATCCTTATCAAAATTCCAAAGGCATTTTATACAGAAATAGAAAATAAAAATGCTAAAATTCATATGGAACTACAGAAGACTCCCAATTTTGAGCAAGGACAAATCAGAATCACGTTCTGATTTCAAAATATATAACAAGCCTACAAAAATTAAAACAGCATGGTACTAGCACAAACACAGACATGTAGATCAATGTAACAGAATACAGAGCCCAGAAATAAACCCACACATGTACAGTCATATGATATTCAACAAGGGTGCCAAGAATACACAATGGTGAAAAGATAGACTCTTCAGTAAATGGTGAAAACTGGATATCCATATGCAAGAGAATGAAATTGGACCCTTATCCTACATCATGCACAAAAATCAACTCACTCAAAATGGATTAAACACTTAAACGTGAGACCTGAACCATAAAAGTCTTAGAAGAAAATGTAGAAGAAAAGCTTCTTAACATTGGTCTTGGTAATGATTTTTTGGATATGACACCTAAGGCACAGGCAACAAAAGCAAAAATAGATGAGTGGGATTACAAACTAAAAAGCTTATGTACAGCAAAGGGAACAATCAATAAATGAACAGGCAACTTATGCAATGGGAGACAATATTTGCAAACCTAATAAAGGGTTAAACATATATAGATTTTTTATATATTTATATATTTTATATACATTTATATTTTTAAAGATATTTATATGTTTTATATATATATATATATATATA